TTAATTGAGAACATCAACCAACTCGGTTGAGGCAACAATTATATCCAAATCAAAGAAGAAAGCAGAAGTAAATTCAACTCGAATCCACAGAGGTCTCTGGCTAAGCAAGCCTACAGATCTTGAGAGTTCAGTTCCAGATTTACGAAATAAATCTAGCATAAGGATTAAAGCATATAACTCGCATACCCAAATCAGATGTCTAGTCTGAATCTCCAAAGATCATCGAACTCTTTCTCACTGATGTTCAGAAGCTCAGGTCCAGCACCTCTCCACAAAGGCACAGTGTCTAGCCTCGCATCACAGGGGTGGAAAAGCTACTGAGTATGAAATCGCAGGTGCCATGGAAGGATCAGAACGAAGATTGAGATGATGAGAGGAAAGAAAAATGACGGTGCAGGGAAGAGATCAGGAGGACGGAAAGAACGATGATGATCAATTGATTCCCACTTGCCAGTTCATAAAACCCACCAATCATCCTCTTGCCCAAGGGTTCCATAACAGAATCCTCTTGCACCTGGCTCTTCATCAAAACGCGGCACTTCATTATTCAAAATCTTCATCCAATTCTCTTGAGCTGGGCCTCAGCTTTCGTGTCTTTAATTTTCGGCCTAAGACCTGATAAAAACAAATAAAATGAGTAACTGGTTCACAGGATAAAAAATACTATAAAAAATGAAAATGATAGTTAGTTCCTAATTTGATCAATTTTTTTTTATTTATTTCCCACAAAACAAATACTCCTCCTATTTTAATATAAGACCCATTTAATTAATTTGATTAGATTAAAGAAGTTAGGTAAGTTAGTTAATTAGAAGAAAAGTGACACATTTTTCCTAAAACACCATAATTATCTTTCTTAATATCCTCTCTCCCTCTTCTACTTGATTATGGTTAAGGAAGTATCCATATGGGTAATTTAGAAAAAATTAATAAATATGAGAAATGGGTCTTATATTTAAGACCAAAATTAACTCAATAATTGGGTCCTATATTAAGGACCGGCGGAGTAGTTTTTAATCATAAAATTGCTATTTGATCTTACAAATTAGACTAAGAATTCACTGCAAATAAGAGTTTATCAATGTGGAAGCACAAATTGAAGAAACTGAGAGTAGCAGAGAGGGGCAAAGGACACATGAAGTTGGTGTTTGGCTCAAAGGTATCCAAAACATTAAAGATGTAATCTTCATTACATCTCCCCCCCCCCCCAATTTAGTATGTGGTGTTTTATTTATTTCGTTGCTTGTGTTCATGAATTAGATAATTTCCAAATTCAGCATCAATAATATTGTTAATTAAGTAATTCAATTTCTAAATACATAGCTCATAGTTTCTCATGAGTTAATTTAAATTTGTTAGTAGTAAATCGAAAGTGATATAGACATTTTTAAGAAAAAAGTGTTCAAACCAGGCTAGTTAAGCACTTTTAAAAATTCTGGATAAAAAGGTTATATTTTTGAAACTTGATCACAGTATAAAAACGTTATGCTCACATTTACATGTTCTCTATTTGAAGTATTCCTTTAGCTATGCATTTAATAGTATAGAAAAGATAATCAGGTATACATTTTTTTCTAATTAAATTAATTTATACTTTTCTATCAACTGAAAATAATTAAATTCGACAGCTAGTAATATGGATACTGATAAATCAAGCTTTTATATATGTTATGTACGCAATGTTGCACGTAAAATATGCACATTTTCAAATTTCAAGTTTTATGCTGATATAAGGTAATGTTGTTTACTTAATTAGGTTCTTAAGAATCCATTATAGTCCCTTCGGCGACATCCGATAAGATTCCAATTATAAGTGGTTAATCCATGAGCCAGTCAATCAATGAGTGAAAACCATAAAAATGGCACAATATTGAAGACAAATTGTTGAACGCACCAACCGTAATACCCTTCTAAACGCACAGTTTGATCAATCTGAATACTTCATTAAGATCAGAAAAATGGATTACACCTTTGGGCCTACCGAGACCCATTATATATACAAGTCACAGTAACAAACTAAATTACATTTCAGATACGCAACCAGAAACTAATCCTCATGGGCTACATACATTCAGGCCCATAACACTGATTTGGGCCTACAAACTAAACAGGAAACTACAAGAAAACAAATGAATCAAATATTTCAACACTCCCCCTCAAGTTTGGGGCTTAAAGACATCCATAGCACCTAACTTGCTTAGAAGATTTCTCTGCACATTGCCTCCAACAGCCTTTGTTAGCAAATCTGCCTGTTGATCGTTGCTTCTGACATGAAGCAGATTAATAAGCTTTGACTGCCATTTCTCTCTAACAAAGTGACAGTCCACCTCTATATGCTTTGTACGTTCATGAAAAACTGGGTTAGCTGCAATATGTATTGCAGCCTAGCTGTCACAATACACCTTCACTGGATCATTGTGAGTTATTCCCAAATCTTTCAGCAAACTAAGGGGCCATACCACCTCTGAAATGGCCATACTTAAAGCCCTATACTCTGCCTCAGCAGAGGACTTAGAAACAGTGTTTTGTTTCTTTGTTTTCCACATTACAAGTGAGCCTCCCAACTTCAACAAGTAACCCGAAACAGACCTTCTTGACATTGCACATGATGCCCAATCTGAGTCACAATAACACTCTAATTCTGGTTTCCCTTTAGAGCTGATGAAAATTCCCAAGCCAGGAGTCCCTTTTAGATAGCGCAAAACACCTCTTGCTGCAGCCATATGAGCCTTGGTTGGCATTTGCATGAATTGACTCAATGTCTGCACAGAATAAGATATATCAGGCCTGGTCATAGTTAAATAAATCAACTTACCCACCAAGCGTCTGTATTTTTCAGGTTGTTGTAACAGATCCTCCTTCTTATTCTTCTTTTCATCGTAGGGAAACAGCTTCAGATTTTGTGCCATTGGGACTCCCAAGGGCTTACAACCTGTCATACCAGTCTCAAATAGCAAATCTAGAACATACTTCCTTTGTGACAAAACAATTCCTTTTTCAGATTTAGCAAATTCTATCCCAAGGAAATATTTCATTAAACCAAGAACCTTAATCTTAAAATGTCTGTGCAAAAAATCTTTAGTTTTACTAATGCCAAATTCTGTACTCCCAGTTATCAATAAGTCATCCACATATACTAGGATAAGTACTACCCCATCATTATAATGTTTAATAAAGAGAGAATAATCTGATTTACTTTGAGTAAAACCTCCTTTCTGCAATGATTCAGACAGTTTTTGATTCCACTATCTTGAAGCCTGCTTTAAACCATAAAGAGATTTATTTAATTTGCAAACCATTTGCTCCCCCTTTCTCTCAAAACCCTGAGGTATTTTCATATAAACTTCCTCATCTAAATCTCCCTGTAAAAAAGCGTTATGAACATCCATTTGATAAACATTCCATCTATTCACAGCTGCTAATTTTAGAACCACCCTAACAGTAAACATTTTTACAACAGGGGAAAAAGTCTCATGGTAATCGATCCCTTCTTTTTGACTATAGCCTTTAGCCACTAATCTAGCCTTATACTTTTCTATGCTACCATCAGCATTATACTTGATTTTATACACCCGTTTGCAACCAATGGGCCATTTTCCTTTAGGTAAAGGCACTATAGTCCAAGTTCCATTATTTTCTAAAGCATTCATTTCAACTTGCATGGCCTTAACCCAATCTGGATTTTAAACGGCTTCTTGATAACATGATGGTTTGTTATTTGAATCAAGGGAGGTTAAGAAACACATGTGATCAGGAGACATTAGTGCATAAGATAAGTAATCATCAATAGGATATTTACAGTTACTCTTAACAGAATAGTCTGAATCAAACTGTAATAAAGAACAAACATAATCATTAGCCCAGATGGGGGGCCTTCTAGTACGTGTAGACCTATGAGTATGAATTCCATTTCTGTTGTGCACATTATCATCATTATCATTGTTATTATCCTCACTGATTTCTTCATTAGACATTCTGTTTCCAACGAATTCAGTACCACTATTATCTAATTGGGGTTCTTTAACAGATTCTGAATTTTGTTTCTCAAAAGTATCTGATTCAAACCAAAACATAGATCTAATGTCATTACTCAATCCATTTTGAAAGTTTTCTTTCACATCCCCAAAAGGGAATTTATCTTCAATGAAATTCACATGCCTGCTTACAAAAAAATTGTTTTCCTTTAGATTAAGAAGAAGAAAACCCTTCTGGTTATCTGGATATCCTAGGAATATGCTAGGGATTGACCTAGGCTGTAATTTATCACTGGTTCTTAAGTCAGTCACATAAGCAAGGGATCCAAAAGTTCTTAGATTGCTTAAGTCCGGTTTAGTACCATAGACTCATTCATAAGGTGTCTGGTATTCAAGTATCCTAGATGGGACCCTATTAAGAATGAAAACAGCCATCTTGACACACTCTCCCCAATACTTGATAGGTATTCCAGATTGGAGAATGAGACTCCTAGTAATCTGCATAATGGTTCTATGTTTCCTTTCCACTACCCATTTTGTTCTGGAGTATAAGGGCAACTGGTCTGATGAATTATACCCCTTTGCTGAAATAAGTTTTTAACTGACTGTTAGTAAATCCAGTGCCATTATCACTCCTAATCTTTTTCACAATGACAAAAAATTGTGTTGAAATATAGGAGATGAAATTTCGAATATGTGATTCTGTTTCACTCTTATGTTTCATTAAAAGTATCCAAGTCCCCCTCGAAAAATCATCAACTAAGGTTAAAAAGAATTGGAAACCTTGATGTGTGGGGTTCCTATATGGGCCCCAAACATCAGCATGAATTAAATCAAAACACCTTTTAGACTTGATAACACTAGAGTTAAAGGGAAATTTAGTTTGTTTGGATCGAATGCAAATATCACAAGAATGAGAACTTTTATTCAGAGTAGAATTGTCAATACATATAGAATCCGGATGCTTAATCACAGACAAAGGTGCATGTCCTAGCCTTCTATGCCATAACAGTATATCATAATCTCTCTTGGAAATTTTCTCATTTTGAATTACATTGACTGAAATAGGGGTATTGTTGGTGACTTTTAGCACATATAATCCCTTATACTCTCTACCAGTCATCCTGATCCTCCCATCCTGAAGGCCCTGCAGTATACAGAGATCAGGAAAGAAGGCTGCCATGCAATTATTTTCTTTTGTAAATCTAGATATGGATATGAGATTAAATGCTAAGCGAGGGGCATAAAGAACATCATGAATAGCAACATTATCAGCAACCGTGATAGAACCAGTGTGTGTAACAGAAAGTCTATCCCCATTTGGTATCTTAATTGAATTAATCGGTCCATTATACAACTCACAATCATCAAACAATTCAAGTTTTCCAACCATATGAGTAGTAGCACCCGAGTCTAGAATCCAGTGTGTGTGAATTTCAACATTATGAGCAGCAGAGGTCAAACCTGTACCGGTTAAAGTGTGGACGGTAGGCTCAGTCTCCTTTTTCAGCAACTCCAGGATCTTCTCATATTGATCTTGTGTGAATGTTGGTGCAACCGTGGTTATTGCGTGTCCTTGAGGGTCAACATCTTTGAAATGATTAGCTCCTCTTTGCTGGGAATCCCCTTGTTGTCTTCCTCTGTTCCCTTTGAAGCCTGGTGGATATCCCACGAGCTGGAAACAATTTTCTCTGAGGTGTCCCTTTTTGTGATAGTGTGTACACTCCAGTGTACTATCTCCTCTCCCGCGTCCTCGTCCACGCCCCCTTCCCCTTGCAGCCATTGCAAGACCTTCGGTGGGAACGTTCTTATCACGATAAGACAGGATGCGTTGGGTCTCATCCTGGACGATCAGTGAGTATGCCTCGTTAACGGATGGGAGAGGGAACATCATCAATATTTGTCTGCGGGCTTGAGAAAATTCTCGTTGAGCCCCATCAGAAACTGTAATAGTTTCTGTTCTTGAACAGCGTCGGGATAGGCTTTGGCGTCGAGCAATTGCAGGACGGAATAGTGATGAGAGCAACCTGCTCTTCCCACAACTCTTCCAATTTCGAGAAATAAACTGTGACAGAATTCGAACCTTAACGGAGCGAGTGAATTTCCCGGTGTAATGCGAAAATTCTTGAACCGCTCTTCTTGTCAAACCGCTCCTTCAATTCGACCCACACTCCGTGCGCATCTTGAAAGTATATAATCCCACTGGCGAGTTCCTTGGATATCGAGTTAATCAGCCGGGAGAGGACGACAGCGTTGCATCTCTCCCACTGTGGCCAGAGACTCGTTGCTTGGTCGCTTTTCTTGCAAGAACCATCGACGAAACCCAGCTTATGCTTGCCGAGAAGTGCGATTTTCATTGCGCGGGACCACACCGTGTAATTTTCAGTACCGGTGAGAACGTGTAGGATGATTGCCGTCCCCTGCGTGTCGGACGGATGCAAAAACAGGGGGTGCGAAAACAAGATGCTCTCGGGCGTGACCTTCTCTTCACCCATGGTTCTTACGGTGGAGGATTAGGGTTTCTTTGCGCTATTCTTGGTAGGCCGTCGTCGAGGAGCTCTTCTCAGCATCACTTAAACGGCGACGTTTGGCTCTGATGCCATGTTGAACGCACCAACCCGTAATACCCTTCTAAACGCACAGTTTGATCAATCTGAATACTTCATTAAGATCAGAAAAATGGATTACACCTTTGGGCCTACCGAGACCCATTATATATACAAGTCACAGTAACAAACTAAATTACATTCAGATACGCAACCAGAAACTAATCCTCATGGGCTACATACATTCGGGCCCATAACACTGATTTGGGCCTACAAACTAAACAGGAAACTACAAGAAAACAAATGAATCAAATATTTCAACACAAATAGATAAAAGCAAAGGAGAAAAAAGAAATAAAAAAAGGCTTTGGACTTAACATAGTTTAAAAAAAAAAACAAATTAGCATTCGGCTACATGTTATGAGTCTTAAGCATCATATTCTTCAGAATTTCTCGTTGTTTTTTTTCCCAACCAAGGAACAAGCATTTCCAAGAATAAAAGGACATATATCATGGAGTATTAATACTAAAGGAAGAAAACATATTGTATTTTATATTTTATTGGAGATGATATTAATTACTTAGTTTAGCCGTGAAAGTTGTCTTTTTTTAATTAATGTAAAAATTGTACTACAAAATAAATCTTATATTTGGAACTGGAAGTACTATAAAATTAATGCCAATCATATAATTTTAATGAATGTTTAATTCATTGTCCTCATTATTTTCTCTAATTTCATTTTGACCACTCTTTTTAATTGATTTCTTGCAATGTTAAATCGTTTTCAACCAGTGACATGCTAATATTATTCAATATGTATAAATATATGACAATTGGCCAATATATATATGGGTGTGTATGTATAACAAATTAATTTAGTTTAGTAGTATAGCACATATAGGTTGGCAAAAACAAAGTAGTATTGTACATAGGCAAAAAATCTTTATTCCAAAGTTTGTCAAAATTTTATTTACGGGAGAATTACAGTCAAGTCCCATAGAAGAGAAATAATTATTAAAAGATCGCAATAACAACATGAACATTTTGTAATAACAAGTCTTACAATGAAGAATGACAACTTTTAAGATTTATTTTGTAATTTTTTTCATTTGTGAGACTTGATTGTAATTTTCCCTTTATTTATTTAGGATGTGTTTAGATTAACAATAGGAGAAGTTATTTTTTGTCAATCTAACTTTTGTAAAAGTCAAATTAGGTAAAAGTAAGATAGTGTGATGTCATTTATATTTAGATTGGCTTTTGCCGAAAAAAAAAATCAGTTTAAAAAGCTGAAACTTGTTTGAATGATTAATAAAAAAATAAATTTAGATGTAAAGTGACTAAAAAATATATGAATTTTATCATATATAGTATATGTGTATGATGAAATAATTTTAAGAAAAACATTAAAATCAAAATCATATTTTAATTATTATTTTTATATTAACAAATAAAAATAACAACAAATAAATTTGGGTGGCATGGTCATTTCCTATGCAAATGGCACTCCTTTTAAGATAAGAGAGAGGGTATAATTTTCATCTCACCGTGACACATTAGAGAAGCTACAAAAAATGACTTTAAGGTAAAATAAACTTCTTTTCATGAAACTTTTTTGTTTTACTAAGATCCCAAACGAAAAATTTTGACATGAACGGGAAGTTAGTTTGAGATCTCAAAATATGATCCCAAACACAGCCTTATTTATTATGTCAGATGTCATATATCATAAGTTTAGTTCAACATCTTGCATTCAATATTGTAATCTCCTAAAATATTATAAATTAAAGAGAGATAATTTAGTAACTAAGTTGACCCAAGACTTATGCCCCGTTTGGTAGCAAGGAACTGGAGGCTGAGAATTGGAATTGGAAGTGGAACTAGAACTGATATTTTTACCTGTTTTTTAGCATGGAAGCCCTCGATGAAGTGAGTTCCTTGCCTCCCCCATGGAACTTCCATGGGTCCATTTCCTCCCTTGCCCTTCTACCCTTCCATCCTTCCCTCCACCAACAACGACGATGATTCTTCGTAGTTACGAGGTGACAATGTTCCATAGACAGGGCAGCGGCGACGCCCTTACGTCCGCGACGGCAACCCAAGCCCCTGATGGATGTGCTTGTGCCTCTCTCCCTCTACGTCCATCGATGAACAGGGCCTTTCATAGATTTTCATGGATGAGGATGATATTGAGATGAATGAGAACAACAGTGAGATGGAGGAGGATGATGTCAAAGGTGACGACAGATGGTGAACGAAGCTTCGACTTCAGATTTGCGATGAGGAACCTTTTGCCTTCTTCCCCCTCTTTTCAGATTTGGTTCGAGTCTTCTTCTCCGACGATCTCAGCAACGACAGTGGCTGTGAGTCTTCTTCTCACAAAATCGACTACTCAATCACGGCGACGACTTCGACCTGCAACCCTTCTCCCTCTGCATCCTGCAATGCTTAGATCACGGCAAAGATAGTGGTTGTTTATATTGATTATTGATGAAATTTTCATTATTTTTGTGGTATTTGATTGATGTTTGGACGATTTCCGGTGACAATGGCAATCAAATGACGATGGTGGACGATGCATCTTTAGGTTGTGGATGCGTGGAAGGAAAGAACTTTTTTTTTTTTTTGGTTTTTGAGGGCAATTTAGTATTTTCATATTATAAATATATTTTTCAATTAAAAATTTATTCCACTTCTATCTTTCTACCAAACATGTTTTAAAACCCACTTCCAATTCCACTTCTAATTCCACTTTATTTCCACTTCTACTTCCATCAAAAACTCTCCCATCCTACCAAACGTGGCATTAATCATCTCTTTCTTTTTTCCTCTTACTTTATGGAGACTCTTTTGGTATCGAGCCTTGAAACTATTTTTCATTTTTAGGGGCTCATTTGGAATCATCTAAATAAGCATGTTTTACATAAATCTTAACAAAACTCTTTTTATGTATTTATTTTATATTTAGTAAATCATGACAGAGAATCAGCTTATAAGGTATCCCAAACGGCTCCTTAATCATCAAGCAACACTACTTTTGTCGTATTTTGTTTCTAACATTTTGTTGCTTCACGTTGTTAGAAATTGTTTAGGTTTTCATCCCATTATCATACGTTTCTTGGAGGATGATTAAGACTCTAACTCGGATTTAGCAAAACTTTTATCCCAAAACTTATGGTTGACTAACTATATGTTATTAATATATATATTTTTTATAAAAGAAGGGCTTGTTTAATTCTGTTATCTGTGTTTTTATGTTTTTAAAAAAATTCAATAGAGTAATTTTTTATAACAAGTTTTAAAATTAAAAAATTATAAAAAAATCTGTTCGGCTCATTATTTGACAAAATACTTATAAAATGGTGAAATGAAGGATGAAAAAAATAATTTGATTTATTAGTATGATTGCCATTAATGAAAAGACAAGATTCTTTTTACTTTAATTTTGTAGAAAAAATTAATAAAATATTAAAATGACGTTCTGATTTTTTTCCAAAACAAATTTTAATTTTTTATTTTTAAAATATATGATAGAAAACATATTTTCAACCTTGTTATGATTAAAATACCTTCATTAAGATAAGAATTATTTAAAAATTTCTAAAAATATTTTTTACGCAACAAAAACTAATTCTAATACATATATTTCAAACTTTCTAATATATTATAGAATTTACTAATTTTCAGTGTATTATATAACTATATAACTTTAACTTTTCATTATTAAAATTTATTTCTGTAGGTTTCTTTTAAAATAGCTAAAAATATATTTCTTTTTTTTAATAGCAACCTAAAAACATATTTTAAACATGTATTTTTTATCATATAGTGCAGTATATGTGATATGAGTTTCAGAGATTATACAAGTAAATTTAATTCATAATTTAAAACTTCTAAACATATTTTTGTCCCAAATGTTTATAAACCATTTAGTAAAATATATATTTATAAACAAAATTAGTCAAATTTTCAATTCATTTTTTTATATCTACCTTAACTAATTACTTAAATTTTTGTCCCATATAATAAAAAAGACAAAAATTATTTGC